GCATGAATGACTGTGTCAGGGACCTGGACTGTGATGTCACCCTGTTCGCTGCATATTTAAATTTGTGGAAAGTTGCCCAGAATACTGCAAATGACAACCATCTGTAAGCTAACTTGAACAGGTTGGGGGCCTGTTCAACGCATTGGCTTATGTCCTTCAATGTTAGTGAATGCAGTTTTCTCCAAATCGGCAGTTGTAGAGCATGTAGCCTGATGGTCTGAAGGTCAGGAGGACTTTGTTGTATGGATTGCTTCTCCGCATAAACCACCGCTGAACTGCACGAAGGCGGCGAAGTCAGCCCGATCCACATTACAACTGAATAGGCGAGCCTTTATGACGTGTAAAGATTAGAGCTTTTCCAAAATATTTGGAAGCTTCGTTCGGCCGCATCGAGACTTCGCTATACAGGCATGGAGACCCTAGGCTGTCTAAGACTGCACCATCTTAGAGAAGGTCCAGAGACGAGTAACAAAAATGATCAAATGTCTGGGGACACTGCTTTCTGAAAGCAGAATGTTAACCCTAAACCTATAATCCCTTTCTTACAGACAATTACGATGGGATTTCATACTTACCTTTCGTATTATGGATGGCCTAGATTGTTGTTCTTTCCCCGATTATTTTCTTACCCGAGCTAAAAAAATTCACTTTACGCGGTCATCGCCTAAGACTACGCCCCGGCAAAACAAGGATCAATTCACGTAAATCTTTTTTCAGTAACAGAGTGATTGCAGCGCGGAATGCCCCTTCTGAAGAGGTTGCCCTCTCAACCTATGCGAACACATCTAAGAGCAAAAGGGACATGCATCAAACACTTTATTACCCAGCGTCAATCTGACTCCCAAGGGAAAGTCTTCCACATACTTATTATACTTCTCATGCTTAGCAAGTTATTCTATTTTATTACTGTTGCAAGCCAAAAGCTTTTCACTCTTCACTTGCAAGCATTTAATTTAAATATTTTTTCTATTTTTCTTTTGTATCCATGTATTTTTAGGGAGCTCAAAGGCATTCGCCTATCTTTCCGTCAATAAACTGATACTGATACTTAATCTAGGTGGTCAGAAAAAGGTAATTGAGTCAGTGTTAAGGCCAAGGATTAATCTTCGCCTAGAAGCATATGGACTTGTTTAGGGTCTTATATCCATTGGTATTTCATTCGAAGTAGGGTTTACCTACAAAACAAAGAAGCCGGAATGCTTAGACGTTAAGGATGTGGGAGGACGTATAATCTGTGGAACATTTCGCTGGTTGCGTGGACGACTAAACAGAATAGGGGCTGAAACCTGGATATGTCCGAAGGAGAAAGGGCGTTTACCGGGAGAGGTATATTTGTGGCCTGACGTTTCGAATAGCTATCTCGACTATCCATCTTCACCTTTGAAGAGACCACATATGAGCAAATTAAAGGCACTCCAATGGGGTCCCCTATCTCCGGGCTCATTGCCGAGGTGGTACTACAAAAACTCGAGAGACGGCTATTCGAAGAGTACGAGCCGAAATTTTGGGCACAATACGTGGACGACACCTTCGTTATCATCAAAGAGAGTAGTATCAGCACCTGCAAAGACCGATTGAACTCTATCTTTCCCGATCTACAGTTCACGATGGAGGAAGCAGTGGAGGGCAGACTTCCGTTCTTGGACGTTCTCGTCTGCCGCCAACCGGATGGCAAAATGGCGACTTCTGTCTACCGTAAACCAACAAACACTTCACATATATTGAGTTACAATAGCAACCACCCGTTGCAACTCAAGCGAAGTTGCATACGCACGCTATACCGCCGAATCGAAACCCACTGCAGC